AGAGTCAAGAAGGGCGATGTTAGGCAAGTATGTACCCGTTGGACTCAGGGGAAAGCAAGCCATGGCTAATAAGCTGCTGTGTGTTCAAATTTCTGACACCTGTAAGCACTGAGCCAAGAAACTGCAAATTCAAGGGCTCAGAGTACATCCTTCTGAAGCCAGGTTCTAGGTGTTTTCAGGTTCACCATCCAAAAGTGGATATGTGAGATCTGGGTCAATGCTTTGGGGAACCCACAGACTAGGACCAGCAAGTCATCCAACCTGGCAGAACTAGAAACAGTAAGACACAACTAGGGCTCAACCCAAAACAATGTGTGTCAAACTGAGGAGGGGGAACTCAAGGAACTCCCTGGAGCAACTTACTGACCACCTAGACAAAAAGCTCCAGGACTGCTACAAGGTACAACTCTGAATTGACCCTGTAAACATAGATTACTTGACCTAATAGATATATTTGACCTAAGGTAGAACCTGTTTACAACTCCTTATGCTTGGAGTTCATCGAAGTCACAGATTTCTATTCCTAACACAAGCTTAAATACTGCTGTATTTTGAATTTTAAAATCTCATTAAAAACAAGCACAATTAATGACTTCTCTGCTTAAATTAAAACAGCTCTTATTTAATAACAGAATAAGTTACTTTTTGCAATGTGTAACATACATTTCTTTTTTTAGAATGAACCCCTTTGATGATACAAAACGATTTGTCTTGCAAAATTCATTACATAGCAGTTTCAGTAATTTAATTCTGCAATTAAGATGTTTTTGCAGTCCCACACCCACTTCTGCTTTCATTCACTACTGCTCAATCCCACAAGTGCTAATATATGGATAGGCCAGCACTGCAATAACTTCAGCTTGCTCTTTATATCCGAAATGGCTGTACCGCTTTAGGCAATGGACCACTGCATTCCATTTAGATTTCATATATTTTTATTCCTTTCTCTCCCTAGCTTGCCTTATGCTTCCATTCCCCAAATAATTAGCATGGTGTAACGTGTTTGTGGTATAGGATAACATCCTAAAGCTTCCAATTAATTGCTACAGTTAAAACACCTTTCTTTTTTCCCCCCCTTTTTCTCTTGTTTTATTTATTTTTAAAAGAAGAGTAAGCTCTGGCATTCACTACATACTGATAAGTAACATTTACCTACCCTGAGGTACCCTGATTATTCTGTTTTGGGTGTTTTTTTTAATTGCATTTTCCCACCAGCTCTGAACTTGTTTTCTGGCTGCATATTTTTCCCATGGTACATTTAAGATGCATCTGCTATAATTAATATGATGCAAAGCACAAGCCTGTATGAAAAACAGCTTGTAAATTTTGAATAATTCTGCAGCAATTACATAGGTAGAATGGATTAGTTAACTATGGGCTTTGTCCCATGGCATGGGACCCACTGTGTTTTTATAGCATTTAAGGGTCATAACAAATATTCTACCAATTCAAACAATAGATAGATATTTAACATAGATCTCATCTATGTTAAACATATCTCATAATTTAACAAAATATCTATAAGACTGTAATGATTTTCCCATAACACAGGCCAAATTAACTTCTTAGCAGATGAAAACAGTGATTTGTTTCCAAGTGTTAAAGTTTCTCTCCAAAGGGAGGTTCTCATTTTTCCTGGTAAATTGTCCGAAAGGGCAGTGAATGTTGCAGGTCTGTAAAGTCACCCCTTGCCAGGAGGATGCATCAGCAAGGTCCAGCACACAGGTCATTATGGTCCTGCTCTTCTCTTCCCACGCTACCTTGGGCTCTGACAGCAGCTGGAGGGGTACCTGCAGGTGCGAGTCCATCACTCTTCCCAGCAGCTATGCATCCTGCCCACGTGCACAGTAGCCTTTTGGTCTTGGGTGCTGTTATTTACCCCACTGAAATATATGGGTGAATAAGAAACTCTGGGGCCAACTAATTTTAACAGGCATCTTCAAATTAAAATCTCCTTGTCTTAATCGGGTACCATTTTATTAAGACTGGAATTGATCCCAGCAACTTTTACTCTTGAAGCACACCAGGAAATCCCTGCCGCCATGGTCAGCCAATGTAATGTTCTGCCCCTTTGGACAAAGACATATTGCTGTTTCATGCTAGAGAGCCAGATGGCCATCAATCACCTCTTCAGCAGCACCACATTCTAGCTCCGCCTTACCACATACACTCTGCTAATAATTAAATCCCAGCCCGTAACTCGCAGAGCAGCCACCGAGGTCTCCTCTGGAGAACACACTCGTTTGCCATGCTACCAGGGATGGATATCATTCATGACCAGAAGTGACACTTGTCAAATTGGTGCTGGCTTTTTATGAAGGAGCAGGACTCTGATGTCCATTCCCCATGATGCCTGCCGTTCAGTCTCATTAGGTAGGGTGTTTGGATACTCATTGCACCAAAGGATGCTCCCTATGGATCCAAAAATCTGACAGACTGAAGTCAGTAAACTACAAATCTCATTTATAGGAGGAAATTGTTTCTGTTGCAAAATTCCCAGAATATTATTAATTACTGCATGTATGACAGTCCTCTTTAGGGATCCTAGTCACTGGCCAGAACACTGCTCTAAGAGGTCCTGCACAAGCATGCAACATCCTTTCTTTCCTCATGGATCAGTCCACCTCCAAGAAAACTAAAAGGTTTTTGAGGCAAGGAAAGCCTTTTTGTACAAGACATGAGACAACAAAATGGCTCAAAAGCATGCCTGTGAGAGATGAGTGCGAGTCAATGAATGACAACAACCCCCATTTATTTTTAAACCTCCACCTTGCCAAAACCAGCAGGTATTCTGCTGCCAAGACTTTAAAATCAACTCATTGCAACAGCATAGAGAATGTCATACAAGCCACCTCCCAGATCTGCCAAGAGCCACGTGGCCAGCTCCACCAGCAGACCACAGTGGGATGGTGCTGCCAGGAAGAGCAAGGTGAGGAGCAGCTGGAGGGAAGAGTTGCAGATGTTTGCAGGGTACACACCTGCCTTTGCCCTCACACCAGGACGATAGCTAAAGCAGACATGCCAGGAAGCTGTCTAGTTGCATCAGGGTCAACAAAGTAGAGACAATTTGGCTCCTAGAGCAATGATACTTTGGCTGCAGCCAAATGATAAAACATGACCTGAAAGTCTTGAGGGCAGTCAACACCCAGAAACACCCACTGCCTAACAGCACACTGGCTTGGCACTCAGGAAGCTTCCAGCTGTAGAGCTGTAGCTCTTTCCAACCCATTGGCTAGGCATGGGCAAAGATCTCACACGCTCTTTCTGCAAGATGAGATAACACCAGCACTACTAGTCTAATGAGGTTTGGGTGAAATGCCATGCAGACAAGGCTGACCTACTTGCAGTTTGGGAAGAGGCTTATCTGGCACTAGCCTGTATCTGCACCGCACAGTAGGGATCACCCTCATTCACATCAACGGAGTGGAAAGCTATCTGCATTTCCCAGGTGCAACCTCTGACTTCAGTGACTCAGGTATATCTATTAACTCCAGGCAGGTGATAATGAGCCAAATACACATTTATTTTGAGAATTCAAGCGGTTGTAGGAAACTGGCAAAAATAGACTTGGACTGCAGAATGCCATTAGCTTGTAAACATGTGCTCTGAATAGGCCATTTCTTCAGACATCTCCCAGGGTAATTCCACAGCCATTTAATAGTATATCTCCTGGAATGGTAGTGACTCCTGCAGAGTACAATGGATACATCATCCTGTGGCTGCAGCAGATCTATCCTACTCCTCTCAGCTGGAACCAGCTGCTGTGGCATGTGTTGCCAGGATCTCACTCCTTTTTTTGCAGAGTTTTGGTCATGCATGATGGTGCATTAAAGCACTTTTATTTATATACAAATATATGTATATCAATATATCTATATCTATCTATCTATATAGCACAAATACACTTTTATTGCAGCTCTTCACATTCCTCTTCATATTATAAAGTGAAACAAAAATATACACAGGAGCAACACTGGAAGACTATTTGAGAAAAGGTCTTTTAAAACCGTAACAGTTTTTGTGGTCATGCAGCCATGGAAGTGGGTCTGAAATGTTCTGCCTGCATGGAAGGTGCCAGATCCATATCTAGCTCAGAACCATAGATTTTGCTGCAGTGCCAGGGGCATGAAATGGAGACACTGCAATACAGAAAATCACTAGACCAAAATCTTTTGGGCATCAGGGCCACCTTCTCTTCTTTCTACAGCAGTTAAGATGGTTCTCAACCAAAGACAGCCAAGACAGCTCAGGGAATGGAGGACTATTTCAAGCACTCTCCTGCCCTTGAATAAAATCCCAAATGTGCACTTCACTCCCCATGAGGAACACCTACTTTCAGGAGTAACTTCTTTAGCTCCACTGGGGATAGTCATGTGGGAAACCAGAATTACACCATGGACCTAAATGCAGGCAGGAGAACTAGCTGAACATGTTCGGGCCTTGGGTAGATGTACAGTCTATGCAGGATGGTATAGGGAGCTTCCCTTTTATGTGTAGCTTGCTGTCACATAGTGAGACACAGAGAACGTATCTTTCTCTCCTAGTTGGAAGCTGGAAAATACTTTTGGCTCCACACACGCACCTCACACCAACATGTGGCAGTGCATCGGCAGTTGCTGCAAGCAGGACACCCAGCTTGCACCTGGGGAGGCAGGCCCTGCATGCTTCTGCCCTTCCGCCCAGGGTGCTCGCTACTCCCTGGTGGCACAGTGAGGACCCCACGAGCAAGGACCCAGCCAGGAGGTGGTCTGCACCAGTAAGCAAAGGATGTGGCAACAGCTAATTCTGCTCACTCATCATCCTCAGCTCAGAGCTGCCAGTGCCAGGGAGCTCAAGACAGGCTTTGCATCGGTGTAACTACCTCCTGTTTCACCATATAGCAGAAGGAAGATTTGCACCAGACGGTTTCTACTGTTCCTGTCACACCGTAACAAAATGGTGTTACATTGGCCGCTACTCCCACCCAGTGCATTGGCAGCCTGGGAATCTGCGGCGCCTACCTTAACTTCCACGTGTGCCATCAGGACTGCGAAGTTGGTTAGGTGATTGCAGGAGCACGTGGTGTGCGTCTTGTTAGTTGTCAGGAGGCGACACCCCTGGGTGGACCAATACCCCGTCATTGTACGCTTCGCATAGCTCCAGAACGAACAGTTCGGATTGAAATTTTCTTCTGACTGCTGCAGGGAAGAAATGAATAAATGCAATGAAAATGATAGGGTTTCAGAGATTTCTAAATGCCCTATGTTTTTTTCTTCCAGAGGCACTTTGTAACTCTCACCCTTTTAATTTTTGGTAAAAAAACAGCAGTGGTTTACACGTCAAGTATTACTTGCCGATACCAGAGAAAGTTAGATTGTTGCTGCTCTCTTTGCTAATGCAAACTTAGTTCTTTGTTCTTGATTAATTTCAGCCATAGACTAAATCCAGCTCTTCAAAATCAGATTGCTTCATTTGCATTGCAGAGCAGAGAAATTAATTGCTTTAAGCAATCAACTTTTGCAATGACTGTGCTTGGCTAACAGGAGGACTAGCTGTCCTCTTTCACTGTAATTCCACTTCCCTCTAATATCCCCTGCCACCATGATAAAATAATATTATCGTCTATTCTAATATATTGGTAGCTTTTAATTACAGAATGACGTGTGTCAAAAACTGAGCAATGGCCATCAACTCAAAGGAGACTCTTTCGTTACTTTTATTAATGCAACCTAGAAGAGACATTCTCCATAAATAACACAAAGTGAAAAGGAACAAATGTATAATTCAAAATCTAATCAAGGACTGCTGGGGGCCTCACATCAGCCAACTTTTGCATCACTTTGTTTTAGAAATTGGAAAAAAAAAAAGAAGCACTTTTCGAACTCACTCACCTTGATGTGCTTGACAGTAAATACCACGGGATCAGCTAGGTAAACCTTATTGCTGAACTCTTTGTTTATTGCTGCTGTGATGACAGGGGAGTTGACAATGACGGAGTGATTAGTCGACATTGCTTCTGTTCCCAACTTCATGCTGGCGTTCTCCGTGGAGAGATAGGTGCCCAAGTTGTTGTACAGCACGAAAGCCACCCTGATTTCACCTAGAAGAGCAGTAAGAGGTTAGATGTCCAGGTCAGTGCGCTGGGTTGTTTTTTGGTTGTTTTGGGGTTTTTTGACAAATCTCTTCTCTGAACCAACTTTAAAATGTCTCTGAGAAAATGTGAAAGGAGCAAGATGTGGCATATGAAAACTCACCTCCTCTTGCCATTCCCAGTGAGCACCACAAGGTGCAATAAGCGGTCCATGGATAGGAAGGGCAGGGCTGCCTCTCTCAAAACAATAAGCAAATAGATTGGCGGAAGACAGCCAGAGAAGGTGGGCTTATTTTTGGTGTCAGTGGGTGTAACTGGCTCCAGAGAAAAGAGGCCAGGTGGCCCACTCCCCACTTGACATAACACTTTATTCTCCAGGCTATGCTTGGGAAACATGTTTCATTCTGGCCTGTTGCACAGACACAGTATAAAAATAAAATTTAGTCCATTAATAAATTAAGACTACCTCACAAAAGTATGGGGACAAATCTGGGAGAAAGAATCCAAAACTTTCCAACAAAATTCCGATCTCACATGAAGGGTAAAAAAATTGCAGAAATTGCATTAAAAACGCATTTCTTTTCTTAATTTGCCTATCAATCAGATACCCTCTGTTCCACAAAAAAAACACCACTAGGGAACCTGCAGAAAACCCAAGCTACCAGCCACCTGTTTTTAACTGAAACCATCCAGTTTGCCTTCTGTTTTGCACATTATTTCACAGGCTATAAATAAGAATTGAATGTGATTAAGTTGCCTTTATAGGTATTAGTTGTGGGAAGGTATTTTTTTATTTCTATAGGAATCACCCCATCTTCTGAGGAAGGCAAGGTACCGATGACTCCTAAATCCTTCCATGATAATTTTTTCTCTATCTCTTTGATGACATCTGGGTGGGTGCCAAGCTGGTGCAAACTGATGGGACTCTCCTGATTTGATCAGAACTCCAGTGATACCATGCTTAGAAATACAGACTTCCCCTTCCTCCCTGCCAACACAGTTTCTCTTCCCCTACAAATTTCCAAAGCCCACTAGCAGAGTGAAACTGCTGTCCCGCTGGTTTTTGCTACACATCTTGGGTTTTACACCGTCTCTGAAAGAAATACTTATCTCCAAATCCTGCATGCAAAGGTACCAAACCCATCAAGGAAGCCAATGGCAAAACTCTCTTTCTGAACCACCAGACCAAAGTTTTTTCTCAACAGTTGCCAGAAATTTTTGTTAGTTTTAACACATCTGGTCTGGCTGCAATACTGCCCTATCACTCCATGTTTTTCCTGCAGTGATCAAAGCCCATACTAGAGTGCTTTCCCCCTGCACTCAGATTAAATTTTAAAGGAACCCAGAAATAGGAGCATGTTAGGCCCGATAGTAGAAAGCCTGGGAGTTTGAAGTTGGTCTATAGCGGGGCTGTAGAGATCAACGAAACATGTCTGCTCAAATTCCTGGTCTGGAAATAAATGGCTTGGCAGCATGAAGACCATTGACATATAACATCATCTTTAATTTATGCTATAGCAGGAGGTTCATAAGCTTCAGAGAGAAAGGCACTGAAGATTTAAACTCATAACAGTTAATCAACGTTTTCTGGCATGTTGGATCATTATTAATATTTACTACTATTGTTTCTTCCCTCTCCCTTTTCAGATATTTGTATAGTTCCCCACTGTGAAGCCGTTTACTCAAACAAGGTTCTCATCCCAACTGAAGCCTCCTACTGCAGACAACAGCAGTTAAAAGCACTTCTCCAGACTCAGCACTGTGCCCCAACAGCCACATCATTTAACGATGTGATGCATTTTTACCACCACATAATACTTTTGAAGGCTGTGAGTCACTTAGCAATGTAATAAATTACCAGTCAGCCAACTTAGCTTGCAGTCAAGGGCATAAGCAACTGATGATACTGTTAATTTAAAAATTAACATAGTGATTAATACGATATTCACAACTGGTTAAACACAAACCAAGGCCTAAAGCACGACGGATTCACGATGCTGGTGTGGTTGGAGGTGCTGGACCTACCATTTCGACCATTTTGTTTCAAGGTATTGGCCGACAGCTGAATGGCACTCCCGTGGCCCATGTTCTGGGGAAACTTCAGATCTTCCAGGTTCCCATCTGTGCTTAGTCTTGCAACTTCCAGCTCTGTTTGCAAGAGAGACCGACACTAAGAAAAACGTTTACTGAAATAATCTTCGACACAATACTTCAAAGTGACAAAATGGTGTTCCAGACCATCTGAGAGCAGAGGAATCAACTTACAGTGTTTCATGCTAGATTCTGTCTGGGCTCCTATTTCTTTTTAAATCTTTGCCCTGTAGAAGTTTTAAATTTAATTAAAAAAAAACCCAAACAAATAAATTCTACTCTCTGTGGAAGACAAAAAACAACCAGTTCTTGTAAACAAGAACCTCAGGATATTAAGGACAATGGTTAAAATGAAAATCTGAAAATGCTAGTTCTTTGCCACTGGCGATTGGTACTTTCTGTAAATGTTATCACTACTCGAGATCTGTGTTCATAGAAATAGAAAGAAGAGTTGTTCTCATTTTACATATGCACAGTGGGAGTGCTGGTGCTTTCCATCATGCTTGTTTTTTAATTAAAATCAACAATCAGCCAAATAAAGACACAAATTTGTATGAAATGAAACACAATTGCATTACGATGAACAATCTCCCTGTGAAGCAGTCCTCTCATTGCTCTAGCACAGATTTTGCTCTCAAAGCCAGGATTAATAAAGGCAGGTTAGGTGCTCATTTTCCATGGGATTTCAAGGGTAGAGAGCTGCCTTGTTCCTTTAGACTCTTTTGGAAAAACTTTTAAGTCCTTCAGACAAAGGACCAAGACATATCTAACAAATTGCTCTCCAGGTAATCTAGGGGCCAAGACTGAAGCCAGGTTTCCCAGCGTTTACTCTCCCTCCAGCTGCTCTCAGTATTTATGGGATCTATCCCTTACGGATGTTGTCAGTGTTTTCCCGGACGATGTCCGTCTTCAGCAGGTTATCAGCCAGCACAAAGGCACTGTCCTCCACGGTGTCGAGTAACTTGGTGGCTGCACGCTGTTGTTCACTTGCGTTCAGGTCCCTCCATGCATTCAGAGCCTGGGGCTGCAGGAGGTTGTTCACTGTCTCCACCATGGCCTGCAAGGGAGAGGGATCGAGTGAGAAAGGGCTCTAGCAAACCTAAGGCACCATCGAGACCTCTGACATATGCTCAATCCCATCCTCCACACACATTAGTTTATAAGAAAAGGACAGCATCTCATTTCCCCACTTATTGGGGAAGCCTGCAATGGAGTAATAGGCATCATTTATCCCATCAGATGGGAGAGTGAGAAAATGTTGATTTTATTCTAAATGTAGGCTGGGAATAGTGCTTTTCTGCTTCTGTGATCAGTAGCTCTACGCTTGGAGTAAGAAGGAAATCAGGGGTTGCGGGGGAGCGGAGGGGAGATGAGGAAATCATTAAAGAAACGTGCAGGAAAATAGATTTCAAAACCCATCTGTGAAGCAGGTTGCTGCTACCTGCAGCACCAGAATTCAAAAGTAGGGCTGGGGCACCCAAGGAAGGCAAGGGCTATACTCCTTAGAGTGTTACCAGCCACAAAACCTCCAGCAGGCAGTCGTGAAGACACAGAGATCGTTGAGTTATGCCACTTCATCCAGAGAAGCAGCAGGTGCTCGTAGAGATTTAGTTAAGAGACTACATTTCAAATCGCTCCATTCAGGAAGGAGTCAGCCTTGCGGTAACAACTTCAGTCCCTCCTGCGGTGCACCTTCTGCCCTGGGCTGCCATGCACAAAGAGCTCTCCCATGGAGAACTTCCCACAGGTTAATCTGGATGCGCATCTAGGATCACACAAAACCGTGCTGGCCTCATGATTGCAAAATTACAGAAGTAGAGCCTACCCAACCTGAAGGTTTTGCTCAGCCTAAAACCTTCACTTAGTTGTTAACCAGATCTGACTCAACTACCTTCCAGCTAACATTTTTTAATGAGACAGCTATACCAGTTGGTACAACCAATTGTGCAGAGAAAAAGGAAAGAAAAAAGTACTGTGATCATGCCTTCTTCTGCTGGTTAGTGTCTAGCCACCAGGCAAGCCTGTCCCACAAAGAAACACCTCACTGCCAGCTAATGCTGATGTACAGAAACCAACATTCCCTTTGAGATGAAGTTGCAGTTCTTAACAATTTTCTGTGAGCTGAATGCGTAGGCATCAAACCCACACCTCTGTTCTGCAAGGCAAGGACAGTTCCATGGGATATCAACATGTTGCAAGCCTAAAGGATGCCCCATGGGCTCTCTTTCATGGAAATACTTCAGTATTTACTCCTGACTGTTTCTAAAGCCACATGTAAAACGTGATGTGTGAAAAGAAAAATATGGCATGGCCCATTCTCCAGCAGAGCCCTCAGCA